TTTTATCTATACATGCACTCACATGTATGTATACACATATACGCATATACACATGTATGTACGTATGCGTGCACTAATTTGAGTAACAGTTGATTGTTGACGTAGTTTCATGTTTTGTAGACATTTAATTAAACATCTATCACTTGTGATTTTGATGTTTCTTTTTCATACGTTAGAAACAATTTTTTCCAGGTCTCAATCATTTTCTTAGGCCCTGTGAAAACCTGATGCTAATTCTAACCTAGTCCTCAGCTAGTTGAGATAAATAACCTTTAGAGGGATATGTTTTATGGCCTCATCAATAAACGAACACACTCCCGAGGTTCTTCTAAGGCTAAATCATTCGCAAGGCTTCCAGAGTTTGCATTCCGAGGTTCTACACTTGGTTTGATACGGTTGATGAATTTAAGTGGTCCATTCTGTAACTGGCTGGTTGGATGCTGTGCTGTTTTTGACGTGGGAAAGGAGGGAGGTCTCCCCTGCTGTGCATCCCACAGGAGAAATGGAAAGGAGGTCCAGTGTGTGTTTGCACTGAGGTCTTGAACAGGAAATTTGGAACTGAGGAGAGTGTGTCTTTAAGTAATATATGAATTGGGGCAAATCAGATACTCTTAGAAATGTCCTCCTTAGAGGGCAACATATCCGAGAGTCTCTGTAAGAGCAGCTCTTAAGGACCAAAGACTCTCACTCCTAATTGGAACCACGCCACCGTTCAAGGCTCTTCCAGCTCCAGCACCGCTCCTGATCAGGTGACGTCTGATTAGCGTCTTTCTCTCCCACCAGACTGGGAGCTCCATGGGGGCAGGGACTGCATCTCCTTTTGCTTCCCATGTTACATCCCCTGCACCAGGCACAGGGCCAAGCACATAGAAATTTCTCCATAAATCCTCACACAAACCACTTTCCGGCATTAGAGTGGGGTCATCACGTGTGTGCCTGGGGTCTGTAGTCATTACCTTCGGGGTTTGAGCCCCAGCTCTGTCGCTTACATTCGGGTAGGTTTCTTCTGCCCGTGCCTTGACTTCCTCATCTGTAAAATGGGGAGAATAAAAGTACCTGCTTCACAAGGAGGCTGTGTTGCCTTTTTATGTCTGTTTTCTGGTAAATCACACTGTCTCCACTCATGTTGACTTGATGCTTTTAACTATTTTGTAATGTACTATGCTCTTTGTATTTTTAGCATTAAAATGTATTATTAGTGATTTTGGTTATTTTCTTCTTAATAAATAAGTCCAGAAGTTTGGATCAAGGAAGGGGAGAATATATATATATACACACACATATACATATGTGTGCGTTTGTGTGCGTAATTTTTTTTAAGTTGCTGGTACGGTGTGTCAAGCCAAACTTCAACTACTCATGACCTGCACATCTTTACCTTGAGAAAACAGGGTCACATTTCATTTTAACAATGTGAAAAATGTAACTTGGTAATAATGTCTTTCAGCAGCTTTGGATTTTGGAAAGATTTGGAAAGATTATGACATTTGACAAATGAGAGTTCAAACTAGCGCCTTCTAATTTCTGTGCTGCAGAAACATGGATGTGCGTGTTTTAATTATTGCTGATAGCTGTCTGAAAGTCAAAAAACACTCCAAGGAGAAAGGGATGGAAAATGTCTTCCCAGCGGTACCCACCTGAGAGCAGTGTGGCAGGAGGTCATGGAGGTAAGCGCTCTGGGGCGCATTTTAGAAAGGGCTGTGTTATCTGTGGTTGTTTACAAAGCTGGTAGCAAAGAAGAATGAGACAACTCAGGGATGTTCATCTCGCATATTTCATCTTGTGAACCGATCATGTTTAGGTCAAGAATGAATTCCTGTCGCCACACGAATATTACAGAGTTGGCTCAGGCATCCTGAAGGAGAGAGAGAAGGAAAGGCCAAGGAATCTTGACGTTCTGGAGACCTGACATGACGTACTTACCTGGATTTCCTTGGAGGAGCCGGTTTTATACGCAGTGCATTCCTTCCTTGGGGTGTTTCAGGACTCTCATGTAGGGTTCTGTGATTATCCCAGTCTGAGTTTGAGCTAGCACAGGACACCGTGACATGACCCCACAATCTCAGTTTACTGCGGATGATAACTGGCATTGGGAAGTAGGCCTCAAGGGTTCCTGTGTGCAGCAGTGTCTCATTAGCCTTTTCTTCAAGAGAAACAGTATCACTGTGAAATCAGAATCTTTTCAAGCCTTTAGATACTTATTCTGCTGACACATTAAAGTCTTCAACACAGAGAGGCGTAGTTGGTCTTACAAAATTGTTTCCCAAAGCAGTTAACTTATTTTCCTTCAAATTTCTCCTCCATTTTCTCTACCACTTGTGCCAATTGGACATTTTATTTAATTGATTAAAAATAGATTTATTTTTATTTGTCTTCCTCAAAATATTCCTGTGATGCTGTGAACTCCGGAGTTCAAATCCAGTGTTAGCTGAGTGTGTGCCTTATGGGAAAGCAGGTAATATATCTTGCAAGAAAGTACTCATAAGAAGGAATTTTGGCCCCATCCACAACAGGACATTATTTTCCTCATTTTGACTTTTTTTTTTTTTTTCTGTACACAAAGTTCCTGATGAATTCATCCAGTAATTTTATCACAATCCCTGTTAGGGATGGTGATACTGGGCCAAAATTGAACTTAGGGGGTTTGTAATGGGGGTATGGGCCAAAATGTGTGGGGGAAAACATCTCCCCAGTACACCTGAAGACCCTTGGTTTCTGCACTTTGGCGATAAGATGCTCAGCAGAGGAATTCAACAGTCTGCTGGTTTTGCTTTCCAGGTTGCCCCTCTTCTTGGCTTGGGCAATGAGTTAGTATAATGGTCTGTGTGCGTGATTCAGAGAAAGGGCCTATGGTTCCACTGAAGCTTTGTAGGGGAGTAGATCTAGTTGACACCTTTAGGTTTGGGGTTCTGGTTCATTCCTTTGCTTTATTTCTAAGTGTTTTTTTCCTTCTCATCAAAAATCATTTCTTTCTTCTTAGAGGTCGTTTCTAGAAATGGTATTCGGGCTTAAGTTTCTTTTGTCTGGTAGATTGCTTTGCCTTTAAAAAAAAAGAATTAGCTTGCTAGCTTGGTGCCAGTGTGTAATGATGATGTCATTTATCTGCTTCTCTAAGAAAACAGCATTAATTCTTTTTTTTTCAGGGGGAAATGAATTGATGTTGGGAGTACATGATAGTATGTACTCCCCCTGTTATCAGAAACAAACATTTGTTTCTTTCATCCGTTTGAGAGATCTTTTTGAAATACAACCTGCGCTAAGGACTAGGGTTATGGCCTGAAGGGACAGGAAGAGGGCATATTTCTTGCAGGTGCCCAGTGAGAGCTGAGGCGGTGGAGGAGGGGCTGCCTTGAAGGAACTGTAGTCTTGTGGGATGAAGTCAGTGGTGGACACGTGGCCAGAGAGGTGATAGAAACCATACTCTGGCCTCTCTCACTTCCCATCCTCTGATATCTTGCTGACACCTGCCTCCCATTGGCTGAACCCAAATGCAGCCACTGGCAAAGGATCTGGAGGATGAGGGATGTCAGCCTCTCAGAAATAGAGGAGGGCAGAGATGGATCTGGCTCGGGAGGCAGAGAGATGGATGAGGGTGTTGTGACCCCAGAGAAGCCCTCCACCTAGGGCATACTTTCTCAAGAGTCTTTACCGCAGCCATGGCTCCATGGCGTCTCACAGTTAATGGATCCGCCCTCATTCAGCACAGGAACTTTCTTGGTTTGTTTTGCTTCTGCCTGGTGAGTCTCCTCTCCTGCTCAGCAGCTCTCCTATTCTTCATTTTCTTCTCTCCTATTTTTCTATTCTTCCTCTTCTCCTGCTCAGCATCTTTCTTGTTCTTGGAGCCTTTCTCAGCCTAACAAAGGTCCTAATGTTCCAGTGAAAACCACAAGAAGCTCTTTTATGATTTTTTTTTCCAGTGAAAAGCTGGAGGATTCAGTAAGACAGTTCCATTTTTGAAGCTGGAAAAATTGGTCAAGACTCCATTTTCAAGATGTGAGCATAGGTCTCGATTATCAAAAGGAAACAAGAGTTTGAGTAGAGTTCTTTTAGATAAACGAGTACTACTTACATCATGTAATAAGAGGAAAAAAAGTAACCAAAATGAAAAAGAAAAAACACCATAAACATTGTAAATCTTTTCTTGGAAGATGATCATTGATATGTTTCCTCATTTCCTTTACCCACCGTTTTTGTGTTTGCTGTTTTCAGTTTCTAATGCTAAGTGTTGGTTAGACCACTCAAGTGATCCTTGGGACCCATCCCAGGAGTTGTGTTTCAGGTTTAATGAAATGAAGCCATTCCAATTGCCACACGCATTGCCTGTGCGCTGGTAAAGGTGCCACATACATCAGCCTTTTATAAGAATTACTGGTTATTAATCACCGCAGTTCCCGAATATGAAGACGAATTCATTGTCGCTCTGGCAACAGTTTACAAAACACAAACTTACACCTTTCATCAGAAAGAGGCTGTTACTGTTTCCCTTTCTAAACAGGAGTTTATTTTCCAGGTTAGGACATCACACACGTATTTAGCAGTCCCACAATGTGTGAGATCTCCTTTGAGGGGATAGTGATCCGAACAGACATGGAATTGGGTTTCACCCCCTTTAAAGTCGAAAGTTGCCCAGTTGCAGCCACTGAGCAACAAGCAGTTGGGCGTAAAATCCAAACTATTCCTGGGTTTGTCTTTAATGATTAAAAATGCTTGCGTGTCATGTATCAAAAGCTTGTAAATTCAGAATTGGGGAGAGGCTGCTGTGGCTTTAGTTGCCAATAATGTGTTAATATCAGATTCAGAGTGACCAATTAGGGTGGAACGTAAGACAGTGTGTGGCAGCAGATGATACAAGATCACTCATGTTTTGGTGGAATTTTCTTTGAAGTTGCAATATTCTATGAAAGTGAAGGAACAGCTCCTCAGATAACACTGACTTCACCATGTGGCCATGCGCAGAGGGCCAAAAAAGTCATGATGAACTAAAGGTAGGTGATTCTGAAGCTTCTGGAGACAGGATTGGGTACAGTGTAGGGATGGAGGGCTGGTCAAGTACAAGATTCCTTCCCACCTCTTTTCTGACACACCTGAACCCTTGTTAATGTGGCTGAAGTGCCATTTCCACTCAGAAGCCAGGATCTGGTTTCGCCGTGCTTGGCCTCCCTCCCAGAGTTGAGTCATGAATGGAGGTTTGGCATCCTCCAGGGCTGAAGGTGTCCTTGTTCAGTCTCTCAACTGCTGCTTTCTCAGTGTTCTCAGTTACTGAGTAACTGCCATTTCCTTGTTGTCAGTACTTCGTACTCCGCGTAAGTCAGGATTCAAGCTCTTCTCTCTATTCGCTTCTTTTTATTCATCCATTCATTCAGTAGCTATTTATTACGACCCCACTACGGCCAGGGCGCTGTTGAAGATGCTGGGGAATGCAGCAGTGAGCAAGGTAGATAGGGTCCCTCTTCTCTTATATTCTTGTTGAGGAGATAAATGAATAAACAAACAAGTAAATAAAATAATTGTCGATAGTGCTAAGGAATATGAAGGAAAGAGAATAGGGTCATGTTGTAGAGTAGCTTGGTGGGAGTAGGAGGATGGCAACACCAGATGAGGCAGTCCTCTCTGAATAAGTGATTTTTGTGCTGAGACCTAAAGAATGAGAAGGAGCCAGCAATATTACGATCCGGAGGAAGAGTGTCCTGGGTAAAGGAATTGCAATTACAAAAAGTCTTCAGGCAGGAATGACCTTGGGTTATTGAAGGAGCAATAGCAATAGCTCAAGGGAATCAGTGTGGGGCTGTGCTTAGTGAGCAGGAGGGTGAACGGTAGGAGGTTGCGTCCGAGAGTACCGGGGCCCTGATGATGCAGACCACGGGGAGGACTTGTGATTTTATTCCGTTATAGCCACCCAACCATTTTTGCACACCCTGCATTTCTTCACTTCCCTCCTTATCCATCTTAGTTGCCATGGTTCCTCATTATAATCACGCCCTTGAAAACTCCTTTTTCTTTTGTATTGGTTACCTATTGCTGGGCACCTGTACAAATTACCCCAAATTTTGTGGCTTGAAACAGGAAGCATTTTTTATTTTACACAGTATTTGCAGATCAAGGATCCAGAACAGCTTAGTTGGGCAGTTCTGGCTGAGGGCCTCTCATGAGACTGCAGTGAACATGTTCGCCAGCACTAGGTTGTCAGAAGGCTGGCCTGGGGTTGGAGGATTCACTTCCAAGTTGACTCACTCATATGCCTGGTAAGTTAGTCCTGGTTGTTGCAAAAGGCCTTAGTTCCTTGTCACATGGGCCTCTCCATAGGATTTCTTGAGGGTCCTCGTGACATGGTGGCTGGCTTCCTGCAGAAAGAGTGATCCAAGAGAGTGCAAGGTGAAAGCTTTAGAAATCATCCAGCCTTGTTTCATAGAATCTATTGGTCCCACAGGTCCTCCCTGCTCAGTGCAGAAGGGGAGGACACCACACGAGGGCAGCTCGCCTCCCCATTCCTTTTAGATGTCAACTCCAACTTATGTGGTGTCTACTATTTTGATGTTCTTTTTTTTTAGATACTCATTTGAGGACATAAATCATAGTGGTTATAGGCATGCTCTGGGGACAAAAAAAAATATTTGGTTCAAAGACCACATCTATCGCTTATTAGCTCTATGACCTGTGACCCATTTCTCAACTTCTCTAAGCTTCGATCTCCTTATCTGAACAAGGGAGATAATCCTACATCACAGCTCACAATGGGTGTGAGGATTAGAGTCAGATAATGCTTATAACACATTTAGCCGTATGATGGGCACGCGAATTCTCAGTATACGTTGTCAACTACTGCCCTTGTTCTTGTTCTTTTTTTTTTTTTTTTTTTATTTCTACAGAATGCAGCTCGTCCTTGAACTGTTTCATCCAGTTTGGTGAGTTGCTAACACTTGTGCGAAGCCAAGCGTGCAATCAGTTCAGATTGGAGGGATAGTGAATTTGGTGTTTTTGGTGAGCCCTGGAATGCATATTCAGGATACCAGAAGCTCAGACCTGTGATAAAAAATTCCTCTTCGATATGCTCAACTTTGGCAGGCTTGCCATTCACCCTCAGATGAGCTGTGAGTCAAAAGTTGGGACTGCTCGATAGAAGCATCTAAATTCAACCCCAGTGCAAAAGCTAATCAACTGTCAAAGTCAAAGAATGAGTTGATGATTCAGGCATTTATATCAAAAGGTGTTAAAAGATTATTTGGAACGTGGTGGAGGATAAGAAACAGGATTTCAAATCCATTCCAGAATTACATTTCTTGCGAGTCTTCTAGGAAATGAAGCTAATGAACTTTTAAAGATCATTCATTTATTCAACTAAGGTTTTTGAGCACTTACTATGTACCAGATATCAAGCCAGGTTCTGGCAAAGCAACTGAGAACAAGACCGCCTGCACCTCAGCTCTCACGATGTTCAAAATTTAAGTCAACAGCTAGACTGAGCCCATAGCCCTTATTATTCTGTTTGCTGCCTTAACTTTCCACCAGTTGCCAGAACTGATAGAAATTTGAGGGATTTATTCCAATGAATAGCGTTAGTGGTAGGCATAACATTTCTACCCAGTTAATCAACCACCTAATTTTTCAATAATGGAAAAAAATGCATTAACTTGTTGAGACAAACATGTTTCCCAAAGCCCTTGTCTAGAACTGAGTTACCAATAACATGGTTTCAGCAGTAACATCATGATCACAAGTCATTTTTCTCAGCTGACTTTCTGAGAGCTGATACAAGATCCATGGGAAATTTCTCTGCAAGGAAACTACGTTAGTAATGAATAGATTGCCAAAGCAATTTCAACACGGGCATGGAAATTTACACATTCCCTAACTTCGCTTCAAAGACAGGTGAAATGCCTTCTGATTTGAGTAAATGGAATGCATTCTGTAGACTGCACCTTTTGTTACAATTAACTCAATCGCTCCTGTCGTTCATCGTTTGGTCAGCCTAATTATTTGACAAGCCAATTCTTTGTTCCATTGCTAATCCATAGTGCAGATTTTAATCTCCAACAATTAATAACTCATTCCTACATATCTTGGAAAGCTCAGGACTGCCAGTGTAGGCATTTTTAAAGGTGTGTGTGCAGGTCTCTAGGGAGAAGATAAATGTTTGTGGAATGAATGCATGCTCCTTTTAAAATGATCGTTTCAATGAATAGAATTAGCATCTAACACTTGAAATTTTGCAATATACCTAAATGATATCTCAACAGAGAAAAATTCTAGTGAGAGAAAGATCTAGAGCAGTAGTACTCAACCAGGGTGATCCCCCTGCCCCAGGGGACATTTGGCAATGTCTGGTGACATCTTTGGTTGGCACAACAGAGAGAGGGTGCTATTGGCATCTGGTAGGTAGAGACCAGGGATGCTACGAAATATTCCACAGTGCACAGGACAGTACCCCCACAACAAAGAATTATGTATTGCCAAATATCACTAACGTGGAGGCTGAGAAACCCTGATCTTCCAGGTTGGTCTAGATAATTCTGTTAAAAAAATTAATAAGTCAAGTGATAAAATATAGTTTTTAAGACGTTGGCTTTTACAATCCAATCCTAGGTCCATGTCTAGGCTCTCGTTTACCTGGAAGATAACTTCAAATAAATTTCTTAATTTGTTAAAACCTGTTTATTCACTTGCACCCTGGGATTGGTAATAGTAATGACTTGTTGCTGTTGCTGTGCATTTAAAATGAAATAATGTGTGTAGAGTGCTGAGCACATTCTTGGCATAGTAAGCACTTAGTACATGATATTATTATTATTAGCTTCTCTGGGTAGAGTACAGTGGTAGCGGTCTCCAGGATGGCCCCCAATGATTCTCACCGTCTGGTATTTAAGCCCTCGTGTAGTCCCCTCCTATAAGAGCAGGGCAGACCTGTGTAATCAATAGGATATTGCAGAAATGACACGTGTGACTTCTAAGCTTACGTCCAAAAGATAAATGTGGCTTCTGCCTTGCTCTTTCTTGGATTTCCCCCCACCTGGGGAGTTCACCTGTGTTGTGAGCACCCTCAAGAAGGCCTGTGGGGACGTCCACGTGGTGAGGAACTAAGGTTCCCCACCAAAGGCCAGCTACCTGCCTGCCCCACGGCGGAGCCATTTTGGGAGGGGGTTCTCCATCCTTAGTCAAGCTCTCAGATGACTGCAGCTCCAGCCAACGCCTGGACCCCAACCTCATGGCAGATTCCAAGCCGGAGCTGCCCAGGTAAGCGGCACATGAATTCCCGCCCCATAGAAACTGGATAAGATAAAGTCTTCTAAACTATATGCCCCAATAGATAACTAAGTACCTTACGTGGTTTCTGTACCAACTGGTTCCATCTTGTCTTTCTGTACTCCAAGGAGGAAAAGAGGAAGGGTAAAAGATATTCTTGTTTCATTTTGTGAAGAAATGAAGACCTGGGCAATGACGTGTCTTGCCCGTTAATACAGTACAAGCCGTTCGATTAGGTGGGAGTTCGGAGCTTCAGCCCTCGGTAGACTTGGGTTTGAAGCTAGAGCTGTCACTTTCCAGCCAAGTAACCTTTCTAAGCACCAAGTTTTTAAGTCTAGCGTAACAATAGCACCTGTGTGATAAGGTGGCCGTGGGAATTACAAGAGATTAATATGTAAAATGCTTAGCACAGTGAGTGGCTGGTGGTACGTGCCCTATGAATGCTTATTGGGTAAATAAATGCTTTGTTATATAATGAGGTCTTTTTTCAGATCCAATAATTCTATTTTTCTAGTCCACAACCTTGCCATTCAAAGATTGGGAATGAAACCCAAAGGCCACAATGTCTGGTCTTCTGGCATTTTGCTGCGGTTGGCATTGGAATCACATTATTTACCGGGCAGGTGGGGCTGATCTCTGATCTCCCAGCCTACCCCTCCCGGAGCTTTCTGAGCAGCTTTTGCTGCCCACCAGAGCCAGGACCAGGGTGAGGCGAGTGAGGCTCTCAGCCTGGAGACAAAATTTAAGGAAGTTCCAAAAAACTCAGTAGTTAAGATAAATATTTTAAGGTAATATTTTAAAAAACCAAACTGGCAAACAACAGCCCACAGCCTGGACACCTTTTTTTTATAAATAAAGTTTTATTGGAAATTCGCCACTCATGGCTGTGAATTTAGTAACTCTCATTAAGCATCTTAAAAGGGTTATTTCTTAAAAATTTATTTTCTTTTGTTTTTATTTACAGGGAAAATGTTGCTCTATAGTGATATTCACAAGTGTGAGCAGTTGTGAAGCTAGTGGCATTTATCCCCTGGAAGAGGGCCACACCAGTGTGAAACCTGTGTCACCCTGTGTGAGGACAGTTTGACGTGAGGAGCTGTGACATCCCGGTTGCTAACATGTCTTCTCTCATTCACCACGCACTTGCTCCTTCCCAATTCACAAAACTTGTACCTAAAATTTGGGAAATAAAAATATATTTTTAAAACTGGTGACTTTTGAAGGGAAATATTGCAAGCTCTATTTTAATTTCTAAGGCTGTAGAAGTCAGAGGAAAAAGAAAAATAAAGAAAAAGAAGATAGGAAGAAAGAAATAATAGAAATGAAAGAATAAATTAACGAAATGGAGAAAAAAAACCAAAGCTTCGTTCTTTCAAAAGACAGGTTTTATTTGAGATACAGAGAGCATACAAGTAAATAATGATAAGAATCTTTTAAATCCTACAATTATAGTAGATATTTTAAAAAGTGTAAGAGAATACACTGAACAACTATGTGCCAGTAAATTTATAAATCTAAATGAGATTGACCATTTTTTAGGAAACAAATGTAAATTACATAAACTGACCCTAAGAAGAAAAAGAAAATCCGAATAAGCCTGTAACCATTTGAGGAATGGATGTGGTGGTCAAACACCTCTACACCCACGTCAGGGCTGGCTCCGTGGGTGTGGGTCTTCCTGGGGCGGTGGCACTGGGTCCCATGCTTAAAAGGGCCCTGCACTTGGTTTAATGTATTGCGCCAATATCTTGAAATTCTTAATTTTTTTAAATGAGGTTCTCCTCATTCTCGTTTTATACAAGACCCTGCAAATTATGTAGCCCATCCCATCCATACCTGTCTAGTTCTATAAGTGAGTTTTACAACCAACTTTAAGATACCAATAATCCAAAGCTTTTCTGAAAAGAGGAAAAGAAGGCAAGTTATCCATTTCATTTTAGAAGACTAATGTAACTTTGTGAGCCCCCAAGGTCTCTTGATCAAAGTCATTTAGAAATTTAGGGATAAAATGTGATTTCATTAGATCTGCCAGAACATCAGTAATTACCATAGTCATTCATTACCTAAGTTTGATCTTGACCTATACAACTGAATTGTCCTTTCCTCAGACTTTCTGACTTTTTTTCTGGTCCCAACAAGGAACATGCTAGACAAGCTTATCCTAAGTTCATTCTGGGCTGGTTGATGAGTTACCTATTGTAAGCTCTTCCGGCACCTGTAGACTTTTAAAGCCTTAATAGGAATTTTCTTTCCAGGTCACTTGCTAGTGAACCTCAGAAAGATCTGGCAGGTTGATTTAATGCTTGTCCAAAGTCAAACTCAGCATCTTTCTCCGGAAACTCTAAGAAGAAAAAAAAGATGGAATTAGTTTCAGGAATTTCATTAAGAACACAATGGCAATATATTTGTTTTATTCTGCTGTTTCTATCACTCTGATCTAGCCAACACTGTACTTCTAGAAGGCTGATGAGCTAATCTTTGTGGCTTTATGATTTCAGTTTCTCTTTTTAATTAATAGTCTGCTTCTGTTATTTAATAAAAAGCAGAGTCCACTTCATTGATGTCTCAAAAACATCCGTGCCTCTCTTCTTATTCACTTTCTGGTTTTCTTCCTTGCTTTCATTTATCCATTTTCAATGAGAGTGAGATAACTCATATGTGGGGTTTTCCTGCAATCAAAATGTATCTGGAGGGGCCAGCCTCTGGCCGAGTAGTTAAGGTCGCATGCTTCACTTTGGCGGCCCCGTGTTCACTGGTTTGGATCCTGGGCAAGTACCTTGCACCACTCATGAAGCCATGCTGAGGTGGTGTCCCACATAGAAGAACTAGAAGGACTTACAACTAGGATATACGACTATGTTCTGGGGCTTTGGGGAGGAAAACAAAAACAAGGAAGATTGGCAACAGATGTTAGCTCAGGGCCAATTAAAAAAATGTATCTGGAATTAAAAATCTTAAAAGTATTTGAGAACAATGATCTCAGATAATTTCCTACAATTTAGGTATTAAAAAAGAATTAATAAATCCAAGCTTGAAAGGTGGGATGAGCTTGTTCCCCTAGTGAATTACATTGTGGAGAACAGAGAATTTCTAGGTGGGAATAAGGAACAATTCTTGTAACATGAGAACAGAATTCCTTTATCCTTAACAAGTATGCAATTTAATAGATAAAGATTTAGTAGATATTGGATGAATCAGTGAATGATGCTGGTTCTGGTGGTTAGTTCAGGACTTGCTAGGTTCCTTTTTGGGCTTTCCTTTTAAACAGGAGGCTGTCCTCCGTTCGTTGCCATGTGGGCCTCCCAGCATAGCTGCTGACTCACCAAACCCAGCAAAGGAGAGAGCCCCCTGGGAGGTCAGATGTTACAGTCTTCTATAACATGATCAGGGGAGTGACATCCCACCACCTGTGACATATTCTATTGGTTAGAAGCAAGTCACAGGTCTTGACCATGCTCAAGGGGAGGGGCTGCACAAAGATGTGGCTACCAGGAGGTGGGAAACATGGGGGCCACCTGAGCGTCTGACTTCCTGGCTCAAATCCTGGCCCCATTGCTTACTAGTACCACAAAACTTAAACCTGTTATTAATCTCCAAGCCTCAGTTTCCTCATCTGTAAAATGACGAGTCTACTCACACCTTTATCATAGGGCTACTAAATTCCAGCAATTCCAAGTTTCTGGCTATTCTTGTGCCGTTTCATGGTTGTTGCCTAATTGGTACGTCTCATGAAATATCATTCACTTACTATCATCTCCCCTTTAAAATTTAAATCTACTTATTTAAAAAGCAGATTTAATAATATGACTAGAAATTTTAAAAGAACTGGTATTACCAGAAGATAATTATAAATGTACACATTAGCAGTACATAAGGAAGATTATTTGTCCACATATCTCCAAACTTCATCCTGCACATGTCTTGTGAGAGGGTGCATGTGCACATTTAATAAAAACACTGGAAAAAATCAATGTAATATACTTAATACAGTGCCAAGCACACAGTTAGTGCTTAATAAGTGTAAGCTATTCTCATTACATATCTATAAGTTTGGTATTCAGAATATATTGTGTAGAGGATGGGCAAATACACCACACAGGTTGTAAATCTCTCTTCAGGCACTGTTGGCAGACACTGCCTGTTGATCGTGATTCTCTTCCAGCTATGTCTGGATTCAACTTTCGAATTCTTCTCAATACTGTGTTTCAAGCCGCCATACCAATCAACTGGTGTTGGCACACACCAGAGGACATCTACTGGCCTCCAGTAGATGTCACCTGGTATAAAGAGATCTGGGCAAAATATAACCGAAGAAGCATTAACACTAAATGAACTGAAAGAGGAAATTGCCTTATTAAAAAGAAAAATGCAAAGTATTTATCCTTCAAGTATATGCAGTCAACTCTTGACTTAATATTAATTTTGACTTCTGGACCTCTTTTCTCCCCATCACCTCAGCTTTCTGCTCAATATGAGCAGAGAGTATCTCATATTTCTTTTCCCTAAAGCAAAACAAATTTGGGAGGAAAAAGCATCCACTGTGCAAATCTCGTAATCAGTTCTAAAGCTTAGGTACTTGGGACTTGATGCTCCCTGGAAGGCCCAGGTATGAGGCATCCTGATGATTCAGAGTTGTGCAAATATTTTTTTTGCTGGTAAAGGGAGGTTCTGCGGGACTGAACAACCATGGATGGCAACAAGTGATTATGTCATTTGGGTCAACGTCCAATCTAGGAGAGTAGAGAAACTCAACAAATAGGCTGAATCATAAATGCAGCCTTGGCTTTCAACCAAAGTTGTTCCATAGGCTTCTACTAAATTCTTGCTGATGGATTAATTGACTGACCCATTTCTAGGTTCCTTGAGTATCACAAAGTGTAGGGAAATGAGCAGGGCTGTGGGGTCGGAGAGATGGGGGCTCTGTGTACTGGGCTTCCCCAACGTCTCCAAGCCTATGAACCATGGGAGGACTCCCATCTCCCTGGCAGGGCTGTGTGAGGAATCGATGAGACAAGGTACAGGAAAGAGTTTACACCATGCTCTCTAAAGGTTAGTTACCCTAATCAGAGATTTGTGCATTTAGTTTGTCAGTGAAATCCCATGAGATTCCCTAAAGACTAAGGGGAAAATGGAGTCAGTTTCTAGGAGGTGCAAAATGGAGTTTGAAAATGAGGTGTGGCAGGTAACAGAAGCTAGTGAAGGCCGGGTCAGGAGTGGTGGGGCCTGAGGCACAAGCCCTGCCTCTCAGCAAGGACCCTGTTCCAGCCGAGTGCCTTGTGGGATTGTGGCCACAAACACCAGACCTCCTGGTTTTCCATGGAAGCTAGAAATCTGAATTTGTATGTCCAATCTCACTACTGTTCGATGTTGGTGCATTTTTAAGTACCTCGTATTTATTGAGGACTCAGAAAGTGCCAGATGTCTAGAAGATTTTCTCAACAGAGCATGTACTGTGATCATTATCCTGGTTTATAGATAAGAAAATTAAAGCACAGAGAGGTCAAATAATGCCCAGCGTCACACAGCCAGGAGGTGGAGGAGCTGGGACTGAAATCCAGATGGAGATAATCCGCTTCCAGTGCTCGGTTCTTAACCACTGCCCTAAATTGCACTCAGTGGTTTTCTTTTAACTTTTTAATTTTACATAATTTCAGAAAAGTTATAAGAGCAGGACAAAGAATTCCCATATCCCCTTCACCCAGATTCCCCAAGTGTTGGCGTTTTACTACTTTTGCTTTGTTCTTTTCTTTATCTCTCTCTCTTTCTCTCTCTTGTCTGTCTCTGTCTCTCTCCACACACACACGCACACACTCATATATATTTCCTAGCTTTGTCTGCTGAGAGGATCTAGAAGCAATAACATCCTGGTAGCAATGAGCACACCTAGAGCCAGAGTCTCAAACAGCCATTCTCCTCTGAAAGAAACAAGGGATCCTTGAAGAAATAGACGATTCCGGGGCTGGAACAGGTAAAAGTATAAGATGAAACCAGAATATCTAATTGTTCCAGAAAATAAGGAAGGGCTCAAAAATGATGATGAATTGTCAAAAAAACAAAACACACAGGAACCTGTCTGAAGATGCTCCCAGTAGCCAAATCTGAGACAATTTGAACATCAAAATAATGATGTTAGTGAAGGATTATAACTAATTAAAAAAAACACTCAAAAAAAGAATCCACAGGCTCACACTGATGTAAATAAACAAGTTAAGAAGAAAAAATTCTTCCTGAGAGAATGCCTACTAATAGAAGTAGAGGGCTTGATGGGATTAGAATAATCACCATCTGGAGGGCAATCATGTTTGGACCAATCAGAATGTATCAACTTTAATTGTATCAAGCGCTCAGTAGAACGCTGGGTGCAGAGCAGTTGATAAATGTTAGCTCTCCTCATCGTGATTACCACTCTGTCAGTCAATGTCCACTCTAGGCCACCTGCTCAGGGAAGCAAGGGGTAGCAGACACTGTCGTCGCTCCATCCAGATCCCCTCGCGCCCTTTTCCCATCGGGGTGCCCTTCCCCCACTTCTGCGTGCATCGCTCCTAGGGTGGCACCTGACGCCTCCCACAAAGACGGCCCTGGGACCCCTACCGTCATTTTGTCTGGACACACTAAGAGCTAGAGGGACCTGGGAGTTTACAGCTCCCCAGTGCAGCCGGAAGTGCCTTGCCCCAAGGAGAACAAACCTTGCTGGAAGCTACACTCCAGAGCCCCTTGGGGATCAGGCTGAAGCTGGAACTTCCCGGGGAAGGGCACCTGGTGTGGCTCATTTCCCATCCTTATCCTGCTGCCCTCACTCCCTCACAAGTCTCCCCTGGAGTCACTTCCTTAACGAATCCTGGTCCCAGGGTCAGCTTCTGGGGGATCTCCATCGTTGAAGAAGACGTCCTCTGGGAAGCTTGAGCTGGGCTCTGAATGGTGTGTAGGGGGAGAACAGGCAAAGAAAGAGAGGGCCAGGAGGCAAGAGAGCCGGGGGAAGGGCTGGAGGTGCAAAAACCCCAAGGGAGGATAGTGTTTAAGGAATAGAAGAAACTGGCAGAAGCCGGTGTGGCCGGAGCCCAGAGGCTTCAGGGGTGGAGGCTGTGGGCTAAGGCCTGTGGGTCAGGGGGCCAGACTTTACAGGACACCGAAGTCCAGCTTAAGGAATTGGCTCTTTCTGTAAGAGCAATGGGAAGCCACAGAAACAGGGATGAGACCTGAGCAGGTTCGGGTTTTGCAAAGACCAACATGGCAAGTGTACTAAGGCTGGACTGGAGGGCAGCAGGCTGCAGATCCGTTGGGAGTTTCTGCAGTGGTCCAGGCAAGAGATAGCAGTGGCCACAACCAGCGTGAAGGGGGTGGAGAAGTAAATGGACTGGAAAAATACTTAAGCACCAAAAAATGGAAAATTATTTTGCCATCCAAATGATCATCTTTCTGCAAAGCTATCGAACTCCAGATTTTTGTAAGGGTAGATTTCGAGAAATAGGGCCTGTAAAATGGCCACATGAGAAAATCTTCTAGTGAGACAAAGTCTGAATTTTTTAATTTTACTGTAGCAAATGCAATAAAGAGGAAACATCTCGAATTTTTTTAAACTTTTATTCTTACTTTCAGAGAATTCAAAGAAGACACACAGATGAAATCTGACAACACAGGTGGATTTATAATCCTACATGTAATTCCACAGCAGGGAGAAAGCATATACTTATTCTAGTTATATGTACATACTTATTAAAATATGAAGATATGAATGTATACTTCTGAAATAGTCTAAAAATATAAACTAAAAAGAAATCTTTATCAAATATACAGAGATCCACCGTCTGCTTTTAGGAAACGCGGTAGTGAAAATATGTGAAAATAAACCATATGCAAACACAATTTTTTAGAAAGTTTTATAAGTATTGCATAAATGTCTATACATTTTCCATTTATAAAATCATATTTTCCCCAAGAAGTTCAAATCACATAACAAGTGTTACATGGTGAATCTATAATGTATGCACATTTTACTACTGTCCCATTTTATACATGGGAAAATTGAGGCAGGGGAAGTCCCTTTCTTAAGATCACACTGAACATTTTTAAGCTGTGACTGAACTTTACCACAGATCCTGAATCAAACACCATATATGTTTTTAAGTCTGACTTAAGCAAACTGCCATCAGAACATACACACACACAATTTGAAACCTGTTGATCTGCTCCTTAATGCCACAGAGGAAATACATTAACTAAATAAAAGATTTCAGGGTCCTTTAACAAAATGATGTCACAGCCAATCATCAAGATATTCTTAGATAAGAGGTTTTGACTTCATTCAAGTACTTCTTAAAATAGAGATATTTTCTAATTTCCTGGTGTTTTCATTTCAACACAGGAAAAACACAGTTTCCTGGGGGCCTGCTAACTTTAACCAACATTTAACTTTGCTTACATTATTAGCAAGTATTTTCCCAAATACTACATTAAATGGAGTTAGAATAAATGGATTGTCCATAATACCCCGAGCTCCAGAAAACTGAGCTGTGGCAGCCCTTCCGTTGAGAAATGTACACTTAATCCTGAGAAGAGTCAAGCAGCGAATTTGGTAGGGCAGGAACAGAAACATTCAGTGGCTTTTACCAGACTAACTGACAAGCGCTCAGCGTCCCTTTCATGTCATGGAAGATGCAAGAGAAAAGAGGATCATGGACAATTCTATGTAAGTCCGGGTGGTGCTGACATCGGTTAAGCGTAAGCCAGCAGTATATACCCTGAGAGCGCCTCGGATTCTGCTTGGAATCCACTTCCCTGAGTCAGATACAACCTTAATAAATACCATCATCTATATGGACAGTACAGCTTCTGGAACAATTGCACAGAAGACAGAGTATAGACATCTGTGTCTAAATGTTCTTATGGGCTGCTTCGTGCTCTGGCTTTTGAGGTTTGCCTTCCAGGAATGTAGAAGTCATAAGCACCATTCTTCCAGGAGAATAAAAATTGCTGTTTTTGGTCTTCGTAAAAAAAAAAAAAAAATTCTGGAAAATAAAGTATATCCCAATTATATATCAAAGAAATGTAACTAAATAAGAGGAATTATTAGCAAAAAATAAATGCTAAAACCAAAAGTGCCACAGGCTCTTGCCCAAGGTGTGGTCCACTGTGATAAACGTGGTGCTGTCCTCGCTAATGCCTGGGAGTTTCTAAATTAACCTAGATTTCCGTCGTTATGCTACTCGATTCAGCTCTGTTGGATGCTCAGAATCTGACAATTGCCTAGTGGTACCAGATGCTTACAGAGGAGTTCATTTGGGCCTTATTCAGAAATTTCATCTATAACTGCGTGTTTCCCAAAATAATCTATCCATCAGCAAATACCCCGTAACATGCAGTCAGCAAACAGCAACCAGTTCCAGGCAAAGTCTAGGAGCTGCTGTTCACAGGGCAGAGTGATTGAGACCGGGTGTGAATAGTGACAGGCAATTCTGTAAAGCCGTATGTCGGAAATGTTCTATTTCCACAGAAGATGATATTAGAGGTTTCCCGGGTTAACTTTTTATCACTTTAATAGTTAAAAATTCATTTCATTGTGTAGTTGGGGAAAATAATGACATTGACAAGCATAGCATTTCACCCAGGAAATTATTGCTTGGGAATAAGGCTAAAGTATACTATTAGACCTCTGTTCATTTGAAGAAAATAATGAAGTAGTAATTAAATAGTAGTCGGTATATGGATATGACAAAAGTTGTGAAGATGGTATGAGAACACCTATATTGTCAGAAAAGGTAGAAAATGGTATACTGCAGAAGACAGTATTACACTATATTTAATATAGGCTGGTAAATGTATACCCTTATATGCCAGGAGTATGTAAACCAAGGCCCTGTGGTCAAATAAGGCCTACCACCTGTTTTTATAAATACAGTTTTTTGGGAACATAGTGTTGGTAGACAAATAATGGCCCTCAAAAAATGCCTATGCTCCAATCCCCAGAACCTGTGTATATGTTACTTTGCACGGCAAAAGGAACTTTGCAGGTGTGATGAAGGTTATGGACCTCGAGGTGGGGAGATTATCCCAAATAGTGTCCTGTCAGAGAGATTCGACAGAAGGAGGAGGAGAGAGTCAAAGCATGGAGAGGGACTCAACTCCCTCCGGCTGACTTTGAAGGTGGAGGAAGAGGTCATGGGCCAAGGAAGGTGGGTGGCCTCTAGAAGCTGAGAATAGGCCTCAGCTGACGGCAAGAAAATGGGGACCTCAGTCCTACAACCACAGGAAACTAAATTCTGCAACAACACAAACTGGCCAAGGAATGGATTCTTCCCTAGACCTCTAGAAAGGAACGCAGCCCTGCTGACACCTGGTTTCAGCCTAGTAAGAGCTGCGTCAGATTTCTGACCTACATAAGGTAATAAATGTGTGCTATATAATGCAAGTTTTAGTAATTTGCTACGGCAGCACTGGAAGACTAATACAACCGTCACACGTATTCATCGACAAACTGTTTGAGGCTGCTTTCAAGCTGCAAGGCAGATTTAAGTGGATGTGAGAGACGCTTACTGCCAGCAAAGCCTGAAATATTTGCCAACTGGCCCTTTACAGAAAAAGCTTGTCCTCCCCCGATATTCACATGCAAAAACTCTAACAGCAGCTTGCATTACTGAGCAGCTGGTTGATGACAGACTCTGGGCTAAGTATTTAGTCACCCCTTGAATCAGTGGCGAGCAGGGATTCAAACCCGAGTCTGGCTGACTTCCGAGCTTGGCTCACCCCTTGGTCATCCACAGCTCCCTAGATGCTCACCTGAGCCTCTTATCGCTGGCAGAAAGCGATGGGGAGCTCCCGGCTGGGCACCAGGATGCCCAGGTGCAGCATCTCCACAGGCTCGTTGTCCGTGGCCACGATGTCATATTTGCGGATGATCTGGAACACACGTGCACAAAAAAGCAGGATTACCCCTCCTGTCCCGCCCTGTGGAATAACGCAGAACACAAGTGCAGAAATCCAGACAGGGTTTTACCCAGCAGACAGCCAAGTGGAGCTGGAGCTCAGCTAATCGGCGGCCAATGCACATTCTTTTCCCGACACCAAATGGAAGATGTGCAAAAGCATTAATCTTTTTCTTCTCTTGAAGCCACCGTTCAGGCCTAAACTCACTTGAATTTTCAAAATTTTCTTCATTGGATCCCAACACCTGGGTATTTAGCATCAGCACTGTCTAAAGACACAGAAGAACACAGAGCATTTAAGTTAAACAGAAGAAAATGTTGGAATAGCAAAATTCACAAAAGTGATCACCTTCTAAACGTAAAAGTAACCCACAAATTTGTAATAATGACGGTTGCCAAATGTACTGAGTGCCTGAAATGTGCCAGGTAACAAATAGGTAAAGAACTTACAAATTTTGTATTGCTTTCTCATAACAACCCCACGTGGTAGATTCTATTATGACCCCATTTTACAGATGAGAAAGCTGAGGCTCACGGAGGTGATGTAAGTCACTCCAGGCTCTGCGTGAATCCAGGTCTCTCTGTCTCCAGCCACGACTCCCAATACTATGCTGTGCAACTATGTCCTAGAATCTACGTATTTCCAAAGTGAATGCTCTCCCAGTAAAAAATTTTAGGGAGATCTGATGAATATTTGGAAAGTATATCTTTCAAAGCTCTGCAAGGTACAGACTGTACAAATTCTACTTACTCCTTTGGGTAAAGCATATTCACCCAAGACTATCGCCTTGTCAAGAGTCCGAGTTGTAAATGGCACGCTCGGGGTAAGCCTGAAAAAAACAAGATCAAAGATGTCCACGTGGCCACAGACCAAGTCCTGGCTCCAAGGTGGATGGGAATGCAGATTCTGGTTAAACAAATAGTGCTGCCTAAGTTCATCCTCAAAAAGAGAACAGGATCCCAACTCCTCATAAAGAAGTTCTGTTTCTTTCTGCTCAATATTTACACCTCCTGTTTGGATTCCTGTCGTCTTGTGTTGGTTAAACCCCCAGCACAAGCCTGCTGAGCCGCTGTTAACACTGGTTTTCCCTGTTTCAATCCAGACTTCAACTGTGTACGTTTTCATGCTGCACCTTAAGCTGGATGTTTGCTCTAGGTTTCTCCTATCCACCCTTCATGAAGTTAAAGCTATTTCCTTCTCATCCTAAGGGGCTGTGAGTTTTTGTTTTCCAGAAAGGGTGTAAAAAGAATTTAAAAAGAACATTTTATCCCAGAGGCTCAAAAACAAAGATGTCTCTATGTCTTATCATATAATAATATGGTTCCCTAGCTGAGCTTTCATCTCAGAGCCTTCAATCATGCCTCCAATCTTAATTAGTGCCCACAGCACTCATTAGAGTTTTATTATTACTGATTTAAAGGGGAAGGCACTGACTTTCCAAGATTTAATAGAAGTTGCCCAAATGATTTAGGAAATGAGTAATAGAAAAGGAATATGGTCCTAAGGCTCTTTTTTTGCAGTTTGATAAATGTTTATGAATCCACTGTGGGAGCTGTCTATGGGAGAGAGGCCCCTTATTATGTACTTAAGAGAAGAGCTTTCCAACATATTTATATTGGCTTGGGCCTGAGTGCTCACCTCATAGATTCTTTCAGACAGGCTTTTAAATATGGCATATTCCTCAAATCCTCGGCCTGTGGTATCTGATTTTCAGGCAGCACACTCTGAATCTCCTTTAGAAGCTTTTGTTGCACATGGGGATTGCGGGATAAATTGTAGAGAAGCCACATTAAGCTGTTTGCTGTCTGAAAGCCAAATGGACACAAACTTGAGTTTCTGCAATAAACTGCCTTACAACCAGTATGAGCTGAACAAAAGGTGACGCCAATATGTTAGTGATGCTTTTCCATGTGTCCTTATTTGCTGTGCCTTACACAAGTACAATATATGAAAAGTCAGATTTCTTTTACAAAACATCAATGAAGGATAGCTTACTTACTGAGGGAGTCAAAATAGAATCCTTTAAATAATCAGCTGTATTAGGGTTTTAATATAAACTCAAAATATAGTTTGATATAAAAATTGAGGACAAAGGAGTGCACATAAAACTAGTGAATGAAAACAAGACGGCTGGATTGTAGCCATGTCAATTTCCCAGTTATGATAATGAGTTATTGTTATACAAGATGTTATCATGGGGGAAACTGGGTGAAAGATACAAAGGACCCCTCTCGATTTTTTCTTAGAACTGCATGCAAATCTCTAATTATCTTAAAATAAAAAAAGTTTAATTAAAGAATTGTTTAAAGGAAAAAAACTGCTATAAAAATTAAGTGGAGACACAGGGATGGAGATCCTACGAGTATTGCTAATAAGAGTTTGCTTTTTTGTTAATTTTACAGTGCAAATGCACAAGAAACTGCATGTCTGGAATTTAAAAGAAAGCCTTTTTTTGCCACACCCTAAAATGTTACCGCAAAAATATAAAGGCATTGTCTATACTCAGGGTTTCAGCCACATGCAAAGAGCCCTCAAAGGAGGGTGCCAACCCAAAAATAAGAAATTCTAGCTTCAAGTTGAATATTTCAAGGAAGCAGCCACAGTTTCTGACAAAGGCTCATTGCCTTTTAAGTGGCATCTTTTATTTCCTTTCCAAAGGCAATGAGAAGAGAAAAAAATATTGGCAGAAACAGCCAGGGTAGCTTTTAGCTTCATAATCTTCACCACTGGTAGTCATACGTATTTGTTTTTTAGGCCTTTTTTTAGCTAATTTAAGCCAAATATTCCTGTAAAAATGGTCGTTGTGTCCTCCCTCTGCAGACATGAAGACGCTTTTGCTAAGTGCCATGTCCCACTCATGTAAACGAGCAGAGTGCAAGACGCTTTGGAGCCAATGGTATCTATTATTTTTGGAAGAAGATGCTCTGAGGCAGGCTTCCTCATGTCAGAGGCCGGCAGGCTCAGCTGCAAATACACTGAGCCGGCAGTATTACGAGTCCAATTTACAAAACAGGAAGAGGGCGTGGCCACCAAACTAGATACACTTTCAAATTTCTCTGATTTTCCAAATGCGACTTCCCAGGACTAAAAAAGAAACATTTAACCATATCAGTGGGTCCCTTACCGCAAATGCCAAATAGAGTTCCCGAAAGGCAGATAACTGCAGCTTTCACCAAAGCCCTGTAAGACAGCCCAGGCCTGTGAGTATAATGGCAACGGCTGAATCCAGGCAAGCGGCCTGAGAAAACTCACTGATGCAAACTATCCCAGCTCTACCTCCATGGAGGAGACTGCTGGCCTTCTTGCTTCCACTCTCCCTCTGCTAGGTGCATTCTCCACCCAGCAGCCAGAGCCCACTTTACAAAACATAAATTTGATCAGGCTACTCCTTTGCTTAAAACCCTCCCAGAGCTTTCCATCACTGGTGTAATGATATCCCAATGCCTCGCTAAGACTCCTGGTTAACATGGCGCCTTGACTTCTCCAATGTCAACTTGACCACATTTTCTAGGTCTCCAGCTCCATCCCTCTTCCTGCCCCAGGGCCTTTGCACCTGCTGTTTCCTCTCTATGGAGTGCTCTTCCACCAGATCATCCCTTCTCATTCCAGAGTCAGCTCCAGTATCACTTCTTCAGCAAGGGAACCCCACCCTGCCATCTCCATCTCTTTCTGTTACAAGACCCTGATGGTTTCCTCTATGTTCCGCACCACTATCTGGAATGATCATATTTACTTGTTTGTTTACATGTCTATTGTCTATCTTCTCCATTAGCATTTAAGTTCCATGAAGGTGAGGACCTTTGTCTCTGGCTCATGGTGGTCTCTCAAGCACCTGGAACAGTGCCTGGCACAGAGTAGGCACTCAAGAGTTCCTGAATTTTTTCATTTATTGAACAAGTGTTTACTAAGTAGCTACTATAGGCCAAGTGCTATTCCACATCCTGGAAATACCGCAGGGGAGAAACCAAGTCATCACCCTCCTGGAGCGCGCATTCCAGTGGGGGAAGAAAAGAATGGGTGAAGCTTTCCTTTGATCCTCCAAGGATCAGTGAGTCAACACTCAGGATAAGTGAGTCGATAGGAAGGTGAGCTGGAATTAATTTCCTCTGTCGACGGCCTTCTGGGGCATGAGGAGAAACTACAACCTTGCTATTCCCCATGATACAGAAAACCCTACTTTTTCTTCAGGCTACAGAAACACTACAGAAAGGAGAAAACAAGGAAAAGAAATGAACTAGGAACATTCTTCTCAGAGACTACAGGTGTATGAGATGTTGCGCCTGTCAGGGATATTAACATGCACCTGTCCCACGACAGCTCGAAGAAGGAATCAAAGACAACTAAACCACCTGGATGCTTGTCAGAACTGGTGTTTGGAGTCTGGCTGCACTGAGTATTTACTGGGAGTATCAGCCACATCAGGGACAGAATTTTGATATTTAAAATGAGCTGTTTCACTTAAATTGAAACCAACTTTTCCCAAACTCACTATATTTACAATTTTAAGCAGAAAAAAATATTACTGGACTGTCAGAGATTATCCCAATATTTTTATGATAAATGATAGACGAAGTTTAGGGGTAACGTGCAACCATCTAAAATATACCCAAATTTTAGAAACCTCGACTATGTGGCTATGGGGTGGAATCTTGCTGCTTCTGAATTCCCATGGCGGTGTGCACATCTGTCATGGCACTGGGACCCTGCTCTGGATTTTCGTCACCAGAGGACATGAATCCTTCCACCATATGTCTAAGTACAAAGCCTGCGCATTGGGCCTCACTCAACATCCAGGAGGAGACTTTTTATTTTGCCAAGTCAGGGTTCAGTTAATCACCACGAGTGAGTTGAATGACAAGTTAAAATTCATCACAAAAAAGATTTTACAGACTGTTTATTTAGCAAACTAAAATCAGGCCCACTCTTACCGTCTCTACTGCAGCCAGCTGGAGCTCTGTGACAGCAGCGTACAACTCTTTCTTTGAAAGCTGATTGTGGTGATAAATATCACAAAGGAAATCCACGCTGGGCTGCTCCGAATATTTTTCTAATCGGTTGTTGACACAAGATTTGACTATTGGAGCAGAGAAAAGGGAGAGGAAGTTAGCTGAAAACTAGGATGAGGAAAAGAACGAAAAGGAACCTCAGATCAAATCCTCCTTGCAACATCTAAAGGGTCTTTTCAGGGACACTGACAATTTGTTAGACAAGCTCAGATGGCCTTGCTGTTAAGCTGGCAAGGGTTGATCAATGCCCACACGAGTAGGGCTTCTCAAACCTTAATGTGCACAAGAACCACCTGGGCATCTTCTTAAAATGCAGATTCTGAATCAGGGGTCTGGGGTGAGCCTGGAAACCTGCATTTCTAACCGGCTCCCAGGGGTGCTGATGCTGCTGGTCTGCCGGTCACATTTTGAGTAGTCAGAGCTGGGAGCTTAGAAGAGAGCATCGTGAGACAGAGGTTGGACTTGGGACTGCCCTCGGAATCAGAACTTGGACCCAGATCCAGGTGTCTGGCTCATATGGTCACTAATACAGGCAAAGTGGGATTTGGCTCCCAAATCTTGGCAGTAGAGGAGGGGAGAATCCCCTCCCCTAAGTTATTAAACATACACACACACACACACACACACACACACAAGTGCAGTGCCCATGCGTGTTGACAATAATGGTAAAAATTTCTAATGTTTGTAAAGTACCTTCTGGGCATGTGTCTCCCTCACTTCAATCCTTTATATAAACCACCACCAGAAAAATAATAACGGTGATGATGGCAATAATAATAGCAATGACAATAAATGATACAGCGGTTGGAGTCTGTCTGAGCTTTGGGAGCCCTTCTGCCCAGCTTCAAGCCATGGCTTTGCCATCAGCGAGCATGTTATCTTGAGAAAGTTACTTCTTTGTGCCTCAGTTCTGTCACTCGGGGCAAATAGACGGATCTACCTTACAGGTTTTTTGCGAGAATTAAATGACTGTGTGTGCGTGTGTGTGTATACTGATAGAACAACACCTAGCACCAACTATTCCCTCCATAATGTAGCAGAAATAGCTCTGATCCATTGAGATATTGTGATATGCCAGGATTTTACGTTATCTATATTAGACCTAGAAATAGTTGCATCCAGGTAGGTATTATCATTATTATTATTAGCCCATTTTGGAGGCAAGACAACTGAGGATGAAAAGGAGATAGCACATTTGGCCAACCCACCACACCAATGGCAGGGCTTGAACCCAGGTATCTCTGATTCCAAAGGCCTGGCTTTTAACCACTCCTCGTTCCCAAAGAAGACCACAGAGAGTTGCCTCCTGCCTTTCCCTTAGAATTCATCTACACCAGGCGATCCCCAGACCCAGGTCTTTGCAAAGCCTAAAGAATCGGTAGGCACAACTCCACTGAAGGATCAAGGTGGTCAGGCCAAGAAGATCATTCCAGACCTTCCAGCAGCAGCTCCAGAGACAGGGCTGCCGGGCGTGTGTGGCCAGATTACCTGACTTGAAAATGGTGTCCCAGGCCTGCGTGTGGGCCTGCCAGACCCTGGTGTTGAGGGTCCTGTGCAGCTCGACTGGGGTGACCATCATCCTCCCGAACGTGCTCATCATCTGTGAGGAAGCAAACACCTTTTCACGCCCGCTTCTCCTCTCAAAGACAACTTTTGCTCTAAGAGGAGCATTCTTTTTTTTTTTTCCTTTTAGGAAGATTAGCCCTGAGCTAACATCTGCTGCCAATCCTCCTCTTTTTTCTGAGGAAGACTGGCCCTGAGCTAACATCCATGCCCATCTTCCTCTACTTTATATGTGGGACACCTGCCACAGCATGGCTTGCCAACCGGTGCCATGTCCGCACCCGGGATCCGAACCGGCGAACCTTGGGCCTCTGAAGGGGAATGTGCGCTCTTAACCGCTGCGCCACCGGGCCGGCCCCCAAGAGGAGCATTCTAAACAACCACCCCCAAACAGGGCTCCCCCAAGGGCTGGATTCAAAGGAGGCCCCAGGCCTCTCTGCACCAATCCTGGAAGCTATACCACCCCACCCCAGGGACAGATTGAAATTCATCTTTGGGATGATTTTCCACTAGATGTGTTCAAGAAAAATTTTCATCTTACAACCTAAACATAAAAATAAAAAAGAAGGAAAACTATGATTTTCATATTTACTTCAATTTCCAATCATCTGCGAACTTCAGCCATTCCTAAACCGTTTTCACGGTGTCTACCATATCCGCGTAAGACCTAAATTAAAATTTAAAATCTGAACATTTGCAGACTCTTTTATAAATAGTACTTTTAATCAGCTGACCTTTAACTGAAATATCTACTTTAGCTTTGCCTAAACAATCGTTTAACATGCTTTATTATATGTTCAGCCACGAACGTACATACATGAAAATACAGAACACACGTTAAAATGGACCCTAACGGCTGTAAGAGAGCAGGTGTGTGTGCCACTCCTGGGGAAACACTGTGAGGCACGTTTGTTCAGTTCTGTGAAAGATCAATCAGGAAAAGCGCCCGCCCCGAGTGGCTGCTTACTGTTTTGATGGCCGCGATGAAGTTCAGAGCGTCAGCCCCTGCGTTCTGCTGGAGGAGCCCGAATCTCTTCTCATACAGCACCAGGCAGATGCCTGTTATTTAAAACAGTCAACACCGTTACACAATCACAGTCATGCTGGAGTGTGTGATTAGCTGGCTACGGAAGGCTCGATTCTGTCTCTTGTAGAAGTGAGGCCTTGTCTAAGAACGCAGAGGAAAGGCAAAGAGTCTGGGAGAAAGGGGCGTGATCACTTTCTTCTCTTTCTAGAAATTATCTGCGGGTGTAATGACCCGCCCCCTGCAGAACCTCCAGGTCAGAAGTGCACTGTGCCCATGTAGCTGGTTTTATACATGCATGAACCTCTCCTGGAATATCTTGCTTTTGCCATGGTTTATCCCTGATATCACGTGTGGCAGACATTGTTAACAGCCTACTCAATACTCCTTTCCCACTTCTTCCCTAAGAGAGCCCCGATTTTATTTAGGCTGTCAGTGTTTCAGTCCTCAGGCAATAAAGTAGGAATGATGGAAGACTCTGATGACAGTTCTGTTCCCTGAATTCCCAGGCTTCCTGTAGCAGCCAGAGCAGCCACATGATCCAGGGTTGGCCACTAAGACCTAGGGAAATACTCATTTGCTTTTTTTTTTTTTTGTGAGGAAGATTGTTGCTGAGCTGTGCCAATCTTCCTTTATTTTTATATGTGGGATGCTGCCTCAGCATGGCTTGATGAGTGGTGTGTAGGTCCGTGCCCAGGATCCGAACCCATGAACCCTGGGCTCCTGAAGCCTAGCACACAAACTTAACCACCAGGCCACCGAGCTGGCCCTCATTTTCTTTCTTAATAAAGGGGGACAGGTATGGTTGGCTTAGCTCTTCCCTCTTTCCTTCTTGTTTTTGCCTAGAATGCAGAGGTGAGGCCAGGAGGAGTGTAGCCATTTTGCACAAGCCAACAAGCTAAGTATGGATGAGTAAAAGAAAGCATGAGCTTGAGTCCCTGATGACAACATTGAGTGCCAGCTGGCGACTGCCTTCCTTCAGACTTCTCATAATGCTGGACAATAACTTTTAAACTACCCTAGTCAGGTTTTCTTCGATTTGCAACTCAATGCATTCAATACTCCTTAATTTGGGTATTACCAGCAGAAAATTCCAAATCATACACTTCTTTTCTCTTCTGTAATCACTCCCTCTCTTTACTCCTCTTTCCCTTAACACCTTCTGTGGATTTCCTATTTGCATGGAGCTTTCTAACATGCTAAGATGACTGCCCAAAACTTTAAAGTGAGGCTGATGTCATGAGGGAGACAGTCGCGACAAAGTCTCCATCTTGGGGTACCCTCTCCGATCCCTCACACCAGCAGCCAGAGCGATCCTTTCAGCAAATCAGACCACGACACTCTCCTGCTAAAAGCACTCTACTATCATTCCCAGCTACTCCCAGGCTCAAAGCCAAACATCGATTGCTGGTGTATGGATTTCCCCCATCCTCCGCCCTCGCCAGGCCCTTCCCTTGCAGGACGTGCTGCCATCATTCTGAGCTCCTCTACTGTGCCTGCAACAGAACACTCTCTGTTCCTTCTGCCTGGAACATTCCTCCTTCCCTCACTTTCACCTGGCCAACTCCTACCCATCCACCAGGCCTTAGCTCAGACGGCACCACCTCCATGAAGCATTCCCTGACCAAGCTCAGCTGAGGCAGCCCTCTCAGACTCTCCCACAACCTTCCACCTCAGTCAGGTGCTCACTCACTCGACCGAAACTGTCCGCTCCCTTGCCTGCACCCCAACTGGGCAGCAGGCCCATCCAGGTGGGGCTCTGCTTTTATTCCCAGAGGGATCCATGGAGACTGTGATCATGCCTCCTTCTGTTAGGACCCCTCCGTGGTGCCCCATCTGACTCAGACTAGAAGTTCTTGCCAGGACCTACATGCCCTGACTTGATCTTTCTCAGCTCCTCCTTCCCTCCCCTACGATCCATTCATACTAACATCCTCAGAGTTCCTCAAAGGCATGGGGAATGCTTCCACCTCAGGGCATTTGAACATCCCAGCTCCTCGGGAACAATCTACCCACAGATACCCTTGTGGCTTACTCCTTCTCTTCCTTTAGGTCTTGTCTCAAACGTCTCCTGACCAAAGCAGACTTGCCTCATCTAGGCACCTAGGTTCTTTCTTAACTCCCCTACCCCTTGGCAGAGTATATATTAAAATGCATTTACTTGTTGATTGTCACCCCTGCTAGAATCTAAGCTCCATGTGAGCAGGGATGTTGACTGTCTTGTTTGCTGCTTGTCCCTAGTACCAAGCATGGTGTCTGGCACATAGCAGGTGTTTAATGAATGTTTGTTGAATGACTAAATAAACAACCCATAGTGAGAAGCATAACTTAAGTGCCTGAAAGGCTGCCATGGCCTTTTCTGGACCGTTAGTATATGATCACAGAAAAGCTGTCCATAGAGCCACATTTTATCTGCAAAATCACTTGCAAAATCAAATGAACAAGACTGTGAAGACAACTTACTTTCAAATGACCATTTGTTCAGTTCGCTGTACAAGTCTTCAATGTGGCCTCTTTCATCACACAGCTCATCTATTCTACCCACAAAATCAGCTAAGACCTTAAAAGAAAGAAATCACAAGAGATGCATTTGAGTCATTGAAGAAAAACAAAAGTTTAGAGCTAGTACGCTAACTGCAGGCTTGCTACCCTGTGCATTCATTGCCCATGACGTTATTCACGCAGAGGCAACACTCATTATGCGCTCTCCCTGGTTGCTCACCTTTCATCCTAACAACCTTATCCTGGGTTATTTCCTGAGCTTTTCCTGCAGCTACCTCGAAGCTTAAGTTTCAGCTTTTGATCTAAATTTAAAGAAAAAGAAAACATTTCTTCTAAACAGAATGGGGACTAAACCACGAAGGAGGCATCAGGTAAGTGTCCCTGACAGCACAACATCTCAAGGATGCTGCTGCTGTAACCATCCCGAGGGCTGGTCCCTTCCACACGTGAGCAAACTCACATCTCCTCACTGGCTGGAATTGTGTTAAGCATGTTGAACTTGGAGCCAAGAAATCTGCAAATTCTGGATGCAGCTCATTCACTAAATGGCTCCGTGACCTTGGGCAAGTCATGGAAGGCTTCCAGATGCCAGCTTCCAAAATCAGGGTTTTAGATGACTAATGCTTCGCATTTAACAAGGCTTGTATTGAACCGAGCACTACATGGAGTGTGTTCTCTGAGCTGCTCCTCACAACTCCCTCATGAGCCGGGAAGTCCTGTTGTCCCTCCCAGCTCCTGGGTAACAGATGAGAAGACTGAGGCTCAGAGGGAGGCTGAGGCACGCCCCCTTGGACACACAGCTGTGAAGTGGCCCTATGGGGCTTGAAAGAAGGTAAATGTGACTACAAAGCCCACAGATGTAACCAAGGGGCATGGTTAGTTTGCCTACACAGGGCACTAAAAAGTTCCCTGAATTTGTTACCATAAAAAATCCAGAGATTTCACAGGAACATATGAATTTTCCACTACTCATCAAAAAATAATAATAATTACAAGATCTGGCGACACTGGGATCCCGTGAGCAGTCATTGCTGGAGGTGGGGCAGCTGTCCCCTCTACGGGCACGCACTGTTCTGTTTGCTAAGATCCCTACTGGGCCTGCCTTACAGGTTTATATTAGCTCCCTGGCCCCCGGAAGCTTCTGAGTTTGTGATCTGTTACCTATACGATCCCATATGGGTCCAGTTCAAAATAAACACCCAGAGTGAACAGGACTGAAAAGAGGTTGCTATACGCTTGACTCTCTCCTCCTTTGGCCCCCCGTTGGCTAAAGAGAATGTCTGAATACCTTAGCACGGCACAAAAACATTGTCAAGATCTGCCTTCTGTCCAGCATCATTTCAGAGAAAGCCTCACTTCACCTGCACTGAATGGACCGTTCTCTGAACACACCATGCCATCTCATGCCCCCAGATTTTCAGCAGGCTATTCTCTCTGCCTGAATGCCTTTCTCCACCTTCTCCGGCCTATAGACTCCTACTTATCCTGCAAACCCCAGCTCATATGTCACTTCCTAGGAATTTTGTAAGTACTATCTCATTTAATCTTCACAGCAAACCTGTGGAGTGGGAATTGTTATAGATTGGGAATTTGAGTCTTAGGGAAGTTAAATGGTATAGTCAAGTTACATAGCTAAGGGCTGGAGAGCTGAGGTTCAGATCTGGACTGCGGAATGCCAAAGCCATGCCCATAACTGCTCCCTCGTTGTGATATTACTTAAAAAGAGAGTGGAGGAGGAGGAGTGAGGGTTTAGGGGGAGAAACATGAGGAGAGGAATGAGGAGAAAGGGAAGCCCCCTGAATTGCCTGTTCTTCCCTCTGTACTTTGTCGCTGTGACTTGAGCCCCATAAACGTCCCTTCCTGCCTCCGGAGCCCCAGCCCACAAACCTCATTGATTTTGTTGTCCAGCTTCATTATTTCCACCGGTTTCATCAGTTTCTTTTGAAAGGCGCTCCGAACCCTCTGCCAATCTTCTCCCTCCCTGGGCGAAAAACAGAACTATATTCAGATAAAACTGAAAAGAAAGAAGGGGAAAGCAGATACACCTCCAGCTCTGTAACTGTGTGAACAGTATAAGCAAATGAACCCTGATAATCGTGCCCAGAAATATCCAGAGAATATGAGCATTGGAATATTTGGACTGGTTTGACAATAGGATGAAAAAGCGCATTTTCTCCCAGCCAAAGATTGCACCAGAAAGGGGAAGCCAGATGATTTGGGCTCAGGGCGTTTGAGGTGCCCTTGCTGGGGCTGGGCTGGGAGGTCAGCAGTCTCAAGTCCCTGCGGTGACCTTGGGCATGTGAACAAGCTCCCCTCACCAACCCAAATCTGTTTGAGGAAAAATCTTGTCACATTCACAAAACACCTCAAATACCGAATTCTGCCATTGCCTTTGAACAACACACAGTCAGAGGTTCAGTGGCGTCGTAAAAGCCTGTTCTCATCACGCACCCTTTTCACGTGCCCCGCAGCAGACCACACAGCCTGAGACGCGCCACTCCTTTACTACGGCTTTTAATTTCAGTAACTATATCCTGAAAAATACAACTATGAGGCATTACATTGTGGGAGTAAAAAAAGTGCTAACTTAAATGCTAACGATTAGAACGCAGAGGACTCGCATCACCGTATAGCAATTGTCTGTCTAAAATGCAGCTTTGACACCCCTCCTCATTCCCCCTTTCCAAGCAGACCTGGGTCATAAGCCCCCACTCCTCTCCGGAAAGGAAGGTCACTGTCAAAAGCAAAAGAAGGTCAGTTCTGGCGTTTGAGCTCCCAAGAGGGGTTACACAGAATTCTAAGGGGTAATTTTGTTTGTATAAGACGTTTGCCCAGCACGCCGACTTCAGAACCTCATCTCGCCCAAGAGTCTGAACGCCCCAGTTTGCATAATGCTGTTTGCCGTTTCTTTGAGGACAGGCACGGCCCTGCTCAGGCGCCAGAGAGAAGGCAGGTGCTGGGTGCGCAGCATAGCTCTCCCTCGACCCAATCTAGCCCATGCAGGAGCCCGCGACTGCGCCGGGGAGGGGCTTATCCTATTCGTCCTGCGTAGGAGCGGTCCAAGCCCAGGGAACCCCTTTCCAATTTCCAACCGCGTCAGGCACCGCCACCGGGCCCCATCCTGCCGCCTGGACTCACAGAATCAGCAGCCCGTAGCCCTCCTTGCGGTAGTCGCGATAGGCCTTCCAGGGTTTGATCTCCAGCCGCTGCGGGTGGGCGCTCTCGGTGCGGTACAGCGCTTCCAGCAGGCACGGCGAGCCCAGGTGCACCGAGTCGAAAGAGCCCAACTTCATGCGGAAAATCTTGCCGTACTTCTTGTGGTACTCCGCCTGCAGCGGGCCGGGCGTGTCACGAAGTCAGGGCGCATCCCCTGCAGTCTCAGGAGCGTCTCTCCCTCCTCCTTCCTCCCGGGGGACCGCCGCTGCCGGGATACCCGAGCGCCCCGTGCGCCCCGGCTGCTTGCCTCGGGGAGGGTTTGGAGCGCAGGGAAAGGAGGGGAGAAGGAATTGGGGCGCGACGAGGCATTTACCAGCGTGTCGTGCTGTTTCTTGAGTCCTCCTTTCCAGAGAATCTCCAGCAGGCTGCCCAGCAGCGGCCACTTGGTGGGGCCGGGGAGGTCGGCCGCGTTCTGCGCCTCGCCGCGCTCCATCAGCGGGCAGAGGGGCACCTCACGTGGCTGAGCGGGCGCGCACGCCCTGGATGTCACGGCTCTGGGGGGCTGCCCGAGGCTGCGCAGCTGCTGTAGGAAGGCGGCAAGGGAGCGGCTCTTGCTAATGGGGGAGGTCATGACAGTGCAGGAGACCGGGCACTTGGGAATGCACGGGGACCGGCAAGGGCGAGGTTGCTAAAGAGGCGCCGGCGGGATTTGGGGGCTTGACGATTCTGGGAAAGAGAGGCAAAGAGGACCAGCAGGTGTGATGGAGGGTGCGGAGGAGGGACAGACAGCAGAAAGGACCTTGGCGAGGATGCTCAACGCTGCACCGGGAGGCAGGCTCAAGGTGCGGTGTTCCCCGAGCGGTGGCCGCGGGGGCTGGAGGAGTGCAGCCGGGAGTTGAGTGGCTCTTGGAAGAGGAAAGAAAAGGATGTGAGTCTGCCTGCCGGTCTGCAGATCTGGAGCCACGAAGTGGAGGTGTCAAGGAGTAGAAGAGATGCTGCTGGCGCTGCGGTGTCCTCCTGTCCCTCTTCATGCTTCATGCTCCGGGGACCAAGTATTTATGGAGACAGGGCAGGCCTTGGGTGGCCAATGAGCGCGCCGAGTAGGGCGGAGTGGGCCCCAGCTGGCCTGGCCCGCAGGGACGCGGGGCCCGGGGGTTGGGGGCGGAGGTGGAAATAGGATGGAGTCAGCGAGGTGAGCGAGGGCGCCCGGGCCTCGGGTGACCGATGCGCTGTTCTCCGGGCGGGAGCGCTGCGGACTCCACCCCGGAGATAACCCCCCCGGCAGGCGCGCTGAGCAGGGAGTTCACCGGGTGCGCGCCCGGCGCGCCTCCCCGCCCTCCCCCGGCGGGCAGGAGCCGGTCCCGGCGGCCGCGGCTGCAGCCCTGCGCTTGCACAATCGCGCTGCTGGGCGGGCGAGGTCTCCGAGTGCGGCCCCGGGAAGGCAGCCGGCGCCTGGCGGGGGCCCCAGGAGCACGCGCGCCTCCCCGGAGCCAGGTTTTGCCAGCCTGGATGGAACTCTTTTTGGAGGAAAGTTCGCTTTCTGCACCTCCCAAGGTGGGGAAGTTTTGAGACTTCCTGAAATGCAAGCATTTCAGGTGATAGGGGATTTCACTTTCGGGTCTTAACTTGGGCAAGGAGGGCCCGGTGAGTTTGTAGAATTTCCTTCCTCGCTGCTCCATTTTTTGGTTGTTATGAAGATTTAACGAATTAATGCAGGTAAAGTGCCTACAACAGAGCCTTGTCCGCAGTCAGCAAGCACCATGAGCACGCGGAATGCGCTCTAAAGGCGTGGCTGGCAGTGGCGGGGCCGGGCTACTTCTCCAGGTCCATCAGCCCCCTCCCTCTTTTTGGACACCGACGACTCTGCGCAAAGGATACGCACGTGCTGTTTCAGACCACCTGGCCCCGCCATCCCCACCCCTCTCCACAAAGTCCATCCTAAGCAAGCTCGAGGCGCGCGCCCGCGCGCACACACACACACACACACACACACAATTTCTAGAGTCTTCGTAGCTGGCAAGAGTAGAACTCGTTTTACTAATTCAGGAAGAGATGTTGGAGATTTTTGTTGATTGTTTTAAAGTGGTTTTAAATACAAGAACTGCCACCAGCTAGGGAAGAGCTGAGAGAAATCGTGTTTCCTCGCCCTGCCTTCCAGTCACGTGACTGGATCTGTTTTGACCCTAGTGTTCGCAAATCCTTCCCTGGTAAGCTTCTTGTACACTTTTAGTTTGTTTCTTGAAAACCTTCTGTAGGCCAGCTTGAACTTAAACACTGTCATTTCAGATTTTTTCATTGTCCAGAGAGGTTAATGACTGTTAATAAAAATAATAGCTATTGATACATAATACAATTTACATATAATGTATTATCTATCTATACACTATGTAGTACGTATTATATAGGATATACTATAGATTATATACCATATGTGATATACGCTATATCTTATATACAATACGTTTCATAGTGTACAAATGAAAGCTTTCTAGAGCTTATGATAAACCAGGCACTGAGCTGGACATTTTACATACATTTCTTACTTAGTTCGGCCCAATAACAATAAATAAATAAACAAATAAATAAAACTGAAGTTTAGAGAGTTAAATAATTTGCCCAATGTCACAGATCTTACTATTGGCTCATGTGGGATTCAGACCCAGATTTTCTGATTCTAGCCTGGGCCCCTACTATAAACATCCATGTATGTCATGCTATATTATATCACTTTTTCTTAAGCCAGGAATATCGGAAATACTCCCAAAGCAGGGTGGGTAGTGTCAGTATGTGTGGGACTATGTGATGCAAATGTTGTTTCATACGCTAATGATGGTTAAAAAGAATAGCCCCAAGGCTGCCTTGGTGGTGCAGCCGGTACGCTTACACATTCTGCTTCAGCGGCCCTGGGTTCGCCTGTTCGGATCCCGCGTGTGGACCTACACACCACTTGTCAAGCCATGCTGTGGCAGGCCTCCCACATATAAAGTAGAGGAAGGTGGGCATGAATGTTAGCTCAGGACCAGTCTTCCTCAGCAAAAAGAGAAGGATTGGCAGCAGATGTTAGCTCAGGGCTAAACTTCCTCAAAAAAAAAAAAAAAAAGTCCCAAAGAGAAGATCCATTTTAGTTCCCCACTCTGTGCCTTGCTTCTGCCGCTCGCTTAGCACATGGTGAATGCTCAATAAATGACAACTCCTATTGCTATGTCAGCCATTGAGTAATTTTCCCCCCCTTATTCTCCCCTTTCTTTCTCTCTCTGCAGGTGTGCTCAAGAACAAAGGGAAATGATTCCGGATTTGCTAGGTTTTCATATGAGGTTAGCACTATGTTGCTGTGTAAACTCCAGGTGGGTCCTTGGAAGTGCAGGCACTCAGTCTCATAATAGCCAGCAAGAAAATTCCTATTTCAGGGAAGTGGTTTCTCATGTGCATTGGAGAAAGTCCTCAGTAATGTTTATACTGGATTGCAGAAGAAAGCAACACTGGTCCTTTGAAACTTAATGGCCATCAATGCGTAGCCAGCCTTCATGAGGTGCAGCTAAATTCAAAATGACTGCTTTGCGCCTGGTGCCGGAAACCCACTCTCCCTCACTCAGCCTTGTCCCTAACGTAGCCTCTGTGAGTCATCCTGACAGGGATCCTGCTGGGAATTACTGATGAGAGATCTTGAAGTGGCTCGTAAATGCCCACCGTCATTACTGAGGCAGGCCCAGGGCCCTCTTTTGTTCTGAGAAATCTTACCAAGTCCTGAATGGATAATTATACTCCTGCCCTCACACCAAGCAAGCACAGATGACAAAGTGTGTGTGTGCACACATATGTGAGCGCGTGTGATGTGGGTGGGCCAGAGGAGCCCTTAGGAGAGCAATGGCTGGTTTCTCTGCAATGAAAAACACAAAACTCTCTCACACATATCAAATGATGACAGAGTTTGTGCTTAAAAGCTTTGGCTCAACTTGGGTGTGAGTCCTAATCCACTTTCTGATTGTGCAAATTTAGAGGATTTACTTTCCAGATCTGTAGAATGGACAGTGTTGTGTAGGGAGGAAGAACTATTCCTCTGCCCTCTGGGTCCTTCTGGCTGGTCTAGGAATTAAGTTGATATGAGACAGAATAACAGGAGAAAATCAAACAGAGTTTAATAAGATGTGCACATAGGAGAAACCCAGGAAAACTGAGTAACTCGCCAAAATGATAGAAGCCACCACCTTAAATACCATCTTCAGCTAAAGACAAAGGGGGATGTTGGGGGTAGTGGTTTGGGACTTGAAATGGGAGGAAGGCAATTTACATGGAGAGGAAAAGCAAATGTTTGATAAACAAATGTTTGCTGGGCCATCTATAGATAATGCTTTTAGGCAGTTAGGAGGATGGTCAAAGTTTCCTTCAGAGTCTTTTGTCTTTAAAAATAATCAAGCCAAAGAGACACATTTTGGGGTGGCAAATTCTGATGCTCCACAGTTGGAACCAGCTTCACAGTAAAGCTCAAGCCTCATGGAAATAGCAGTCATAATCACAGCCAGTCTCCTGGGGTTGCTGTGAGAATAGTGCACGGACAGTTTGTAGCACAGGAAAGTGCTCGCAAACATGACCTCCAAGCACTACTGTATTGCAGGCCTTGGTTTTTGCGTGCAGAAACTATTTACTGGAGAGGCAACTTAGATGTCTCAATTATTATACCTTGTGTTCCACTTCATATTGTAATTTCAGCTAAGGAAACTGTATAAATGAATAAAGCCAAAGGAAGATTAGCAAAGGGACACTGGTGAGTTCCCATCCCAGCTCAGCCACTTAGCAGCCAGACGAACCAGGCATAATTGACTCATCTCTGTAAGCCTCAGTACCTTATCTCAAAGTGATGATAAAGGTGGTACCCACCCAGTAGGGTTTTTCTAAGGATAACGAATCATCGAAAGTCCCTGGCATAGAGAAAAGGCTCTAAAATGTTTATGGTTACTTATTAAGAACTACAGAGATTGGGCTCTCAAACAATGAAGGTCGCAATCTCTATTGCATTTGTCTTGGGGTTCTCTGCCTAATTAGATGAAAATCTTGAAAGTGCAGACATCGTCTCCTTGTTATTGTCTCTCCCAGAGAATATGACACAGTGCTATTTACCTTGGCCAGCACCCAAGAAGCAAATAATAGGCAATTGATTATTGATTATTTTCTCATTCGCAAGTGAAAAGAGAAAGATCAGTGTCAATATATTCTTTGTTTTCTGAGGAAGAAGTTGTTGGTAAATCCTGGAGGGCTTTATTTGTGTGTCATATAGAATGCAATTCTATGTAACAAAGATAATAGTTTTTGTCTCCAAAGCTTGGATTGAATCCATGGCTCCACTGGTCACAAGCTGTGTGGCCTTCGGCAAGTTATCTAACCTCTCTGAGTCTAGTTTCCCCCTTAATAAAATTGGGGATTACTATACCTATATCTCAGGAAGGTTAAGATGAATACTTGAAATAGGTGAAACATAATTAACCATTGTCTTCACAAACAGCCATTTGACCCCATATATGCTTGATAATTTCTGAGTAGAATTCAGTCCTGTTGGCAACTTAAAATTATATTGTGGGAAAAAAGTATCTTAAAAAGTCCTCCAAAGCACAGTTTCATGGGGAGAACTTTCGGAGAGAATTATTATTAAAAGAGCTGCTCCATTCTGAAGGAGATGAAAAATATAGGATGTACATTCAAGTTTATGAATCGTTTTCCTCTTACTACAAATTATAATTTATTGAGGAGCTACTATGTGTGTGCCAGATATTTTGGCTATCTCTGCCCACACAATAATACCATAAGGTAAGCATTATTTTCCATTTTATATGAGAAAAACTGTCTTTTACAGAGTTTAAGCCAGACCTGAGTTTGAATCTACCCTGCTAGTTAGTTCACTTTGTCCTCATCTATAAAATGGAAATAATAATAGTGACTCAGATATTATTAGAATGTTATAGGTATAATAATATTATGT